TTAACATTCATTGAATGAGTGTTAAACAACATTATACAACAACGCACTCTGATGAGTACTTGATATTTAATGATATTAAGATTACATGCTTAATCTTGGAAGATGCAAATTCTCTGTGTATATAGTTTTCAACTCTTTGCATTTACTCTCCAATAAAAACAGGGTCACTGAGTTAATCAAATCATGTTCAACCCGCAACTCTTACTTGCTGCATGATCTTGGACAGATTAACCTCTTGATTATAAAAACATGGAAAAGAACACTTACCCTATAAGGCTGGCACAAAGGCTAAACACAATAACCTTTAAAAAAATCAATTGACATAATACTTGCTATGTCTCAGTACTTTCTAAATAGTAGTTCATCTTCCCTTTCTTCCTAAGAAAACCAGGTCCCAAATAGGAAGGTACTCTGACTGCATTTCCTTTCATAAGCTCCCATTGGGGTATGTGCCTGAACCTTATACAATATTTGGTATATAATTAATACATGAGTGAATTAAGGTATGAGTAATGAAAAATCATAGGTCTGTTTTAGATTCTTTGTCAGTCTGGGTAACGGAATTAAAATCAGGGAATTCATCTACTGGATTCTAACCTAAGGGTTTTCTGCGTAGATCTATGTGCTTCTATATAAGTCAACTCAAAACAAAGCTCGACAATGAAGTCTGTGCTCCTAAATTTTGTCCTAATGATTTAGTTTAAGGCAGTTATTAAAGACATTTGAACTTTATGCTACCAAGTATGCAAATTGAATCAACTTGCTATGCCTTAATTAAAAGAAAATGAGTTTTAGTTAATGACAGTATAAACCAATAAACAACATTTACACCTTTAAGTGATACAAATTGAATTTCACATATAAACAAATTTATTCTTTACTATAAGATTTGCTTGTACTCAGGAACAACAGAGTACAAACTCTCAATGATAGTATTTCTCTGTTTCATTGTCATTCTCATTTTTCCCTTGCAATGAATTTGGATGTATTGACTTTTTCTGCAATACCCTCACATTGTCAATTAAAATACTTTATCAGGGGCCTCCCCTGGTGGCGCAGCGGTTGAGCGCTGGGCTGCGAAGCTGCCCCCAGCCTCTGCAGCGCCGGTTAGATCCCCGGCTCCCCTCAGCAGTGTACTTCGTCAGTCTGCCTGCTCTGCTCTCTGCTCTGGCTCTGGTGAATTCTCTCACCCTCCCGCGCTTCTGACTGTACCCAGTGCTTGTATAAATAAATAACTAAAATCTTAAAAAAAAAACTTTATCAGGAAACAAGCAATATTTTATTAAAGCTGGAATAGTACTACACACTATCCATAAAAATAAGTTTCTTTTGTCTTTGTGTAAGCAAATAAATGGGAAAAGTTTCTCAGTATTTTCAGAAAGAAATCTGTTTAAACTGTTGACACAATCGTTTGAATCTCTGGGCAGAATGAGTGAATATAAAACAAATTATCATATTAGAAGTGTTTAAACTGAAGAACTTCATAATGCAATGATAACAAGAGTAAACCAGGAAAGATTTTCCAGATTTGTTAATAATCTAAATATATTAAGTACTACCATTTAGATGTTATTGATAAATTTTCACTTTTTATAAAAGAAAATATGGTAAATCCCAAAGAGAGAACAGCATCAAATATGTTTCAAGACCTCTCCTGTTAGGAACAGTAGATGAGCAGATATTCAAGACCTGCAGCAATGCTTTCTAAAAGTAGTTTTGAAGTATATTTTGAAAACTATTAGCACAAGATTATTAGGAAGAGTTCTAAGACGATATTTTACATAAAAACCTGTCAACTAATTAGCTAAAAATCTTATTAAAAATCTTATTAAAAAATACAGCAGTCTCAAAATACAGAATGTTACTTGTGTCAGTAGTGGAGATTTACAGATATTATTAATAAATGAATACTTTAAAGTTCAATACCTTAGCAATTGATCAACACCAGTTTAGTCCCTTTATCTTACAAGGAAGGAAGCCAAGGAACTAGCTCCTCTCTTCAGTTACTAGTCCATTAGATCTACCCCATTAGATTCCCTCTGTGTCTGCATGGGTCTCCATGGTCCATGCAAAACTCATGTCACCTGGTTGTGGTCTGTAGTCAAAGAACTGCATTCTGTTCCCTTGTCTGTTCCCTTGTGAAGACTGAATACTTTTAAATAAAAGATTCAGAAATCTCAGACTATCACAGTCATGAAAGCAAAGAACTGCTGCAGTATTTGGAGAGATTTGGGACAGCAAAGTTAAAATTATCAGGCAAGGGACCTGGACACCATTCAGGTCTAGTGTCACTAAGATCAACTTTTCAAACTTCCACCATTAGATTTTAGAGGGAACTGGTTCTCAATCCTCCACCCTTTCTTGAAGAGAAAGAGGGGAGATGGGAAAGAGAGCACACTATCCATTTTCCCATATATAGCTGTAATTATTTAAAAACCCCTAATTATTTAAAAGTAGTTGGATGAATTTATTCATAAGTAACAAGGTAGAAGAGACAACAAACCCTTAAAAAGAAAGGATGTTTTTCATTGTCTTAAATTTTCATAGTTCTATTGATAATATATAGCTACCCAGTCATTCTAACCAAATAGTTGCCGAACCTTGAGCAATCACTTGCTCTGTGGGCCTGTACACTCATCCTTAAATTAAAACAGATGAACACACTGATCTCTGAGTTCCCTTTATAATGGAATGCTGTTTCCTTTACATTCAATTATAAGGTAGGTTTAACAGATTCATCTCTGCTTATCCTTTAAGGCAGTAACTTCCAAAGTGGGGTATATATGGCAATTGGTTAGAGGAGTAGGAGCTAATTATTAAAACTTATATTCTTTTTATATGTTTAATTTATGTTTTTAACCCAAAGAGATATGAATAAAGATCAGCCATACTGATCAACAATATTCTAATTAACACTGGTGTCCCACTGGTCTCTGGGAGAAAAAGCACTCCATGAAGCAGAGGGGTAGCAGGGATGCTTTCTTTGCCCATTCTCAAAATACAGCACGCCACTTGTGTCCAGTAATGGAGGCTTACAGATTTTATTAAGCACTTGTAAGATGACAAGGGGCTTACAAGGATTTCTGCATGGTAATGCCAGATTACAGGTAATGCCAATAATGCAAATCTAAATGAATGTCAGAAAAAGAGCAGGACCCATAATCTTCATTTTCTTAGGACAAGCTTTTTATAACCTCATTGTCAGGTACAACAGTAACTATGGAATTAGTTTAGATGTGATAAGATGTAATCCTCCCAAATCAAAAGCATCAAGAAGTATTAGAAGTATCCACAATTCCTAATTCCGAGCATTTTCCTTGGTGCACAATGGGTTTTGAGGCATTTATTATAATAGCACACATGTAAAATTTAAGAAAATATCATGAATAAATGTTGATGAAATTTTATATTGATAAAGGTAAAAGATCACCAAAGTCTAAAGCTTTGTTTATTTATTGGAAAGCATATGCATGTCAAGAGTTTAGCTATACTTCTTAAACAAGTAATGGTGTAAGCCAATGTTAACTAATTCAAAAAATAGTTTAGCTAAGGTACTTCATAGTATTGCTGCCTTGGCATCCATTCTATGTGGCCAGTGCACCTGGGGGCTTTGAACTAGCACTAGATTGTTGCGTCCAGCAACACCACACTGATAAAGACAGGAGTTGTGGAGCAGGCTGCTCAATGCTGGATGCTGCTCGAGAGCAAGATCCTGGCCATTTTTTTTTGATAGAATAATCATACAGTATCAGCTACGTGGGTTAAGAGGACAAGGAGAAAAGATGGGTGAAACTAAGGAATGTCATCTATGGCTTTGGGGGGACATGAGTCTGCTGACTAGATAATTCTTATCTGCTTGATGACCAAGTGTTGTATTAGAAAGTAGAGCCCAGAACCCCTGGCCACGGTAATAATCTTAACTACAAGGCATTCCACTGATCAGCTTCTGGGGTCCCTTGTCATACATCGGTCCTTGGCCCCATGGGCGTTCACGGTCATATCTCTTGATGCATACCCTTCCCAAGGTGATCAAGCTTTCTGCTCTTGATTGATTGGAAAGGTTTGGCTGCTATGGCTGATTGACTGAAGGGCAGTTCTGACCTTATATAGGAGTGCAGAACTGCAGGTAACAGTAATGGCAGCTGAACAAGCCACTTAAGTTTAGCAGACCCACCTTAGATAACAGCCCATAGAATCAAAAGGAAATGTTAAGTTCCCAATATGATTGCCCTAAACAGCCCTTGGGATCAATACTCCTCCTGACTTCCCAGGCTTTCCCCTTGTATAAGTGGATCTTACCAAGACCTCCACTCTTTTGTTTTGAATTAACTAACCTGACGTTAGCCTAGGAATCCCAAACCATTCTACCCACCTTAATAAAGCCATGTGCCCCAGGTCCTGTCTCGGTCTATCTGAGTTTTGCCTTGACCTCCCCTTGGGGCCCCTTGAGGCATGCTATTTACTTCCTCTGGACATGAAGTAAGCTTCTCTATTTCAATTTCTCTTGTGGTCTTTTTTTAAATAGCAGCTCACTATCTGGCACCTTGTGCACAAAACAAATGTTGATTTAACATAGTCATAACAGTACCCCATGGCACAGTATATAAGCATGAACCCCAGAGTCCCACACACATGTATTAGACTCACAGCTCTGACACACAGCTAGTGAAGTGGTCTGGATAAGCCTCTCAGGATCTGATTTCTAGTCTGTGAAACTGAGAAAATAATACCCATCTCATAGTGTTGTTGTGGGATTTGAACAAGAATTGCTGGTTTATGTAGGTCTCAATAAGTATTCATTTCTTTTTTCTTACTCTTAAAACAAAGACATGTTTTTCTACCAAAAAACAAAGACATATTTCTATGTAGTAAATATGATACTATTTAAAAGTTACAATATTTGCTTCTGTTACAGCATAACACAATTATTTGCTCCACATCCAAATTGGTCTATATTAACAGAGATGTAAATCTCAACTAGCAACTTTTGTTAAACTTACCACATTAAAATTTAGATGTTTTTCAATCCATGATTTTGCCTCTTTAAATTCATCTTTCATTTCCATAATAAAAAGGGTATCAAGGGCATCTACTATTGTTGCTCCTTTGATATTACCTGAAAATATAGAAATAGTTATTTAATAAAATACTCTTGACAGATATGTACATGCCAATTAACCATACCTTACAAAAAGAGGGGGTTAATACTGAATATATTAATATAGAGTAATAGTGAACACAGCCTAAAATTTTTTTCAGTGAAAGAAAATTTAAAAACTATATCAAAACCAAACTCAAAGTTATCACAAGGCTATATATATTGATGTCAATCTTCAAAGTTTCTTTTGAGTTGTAGAAAAATAAATTCCTTAAAAATTACATTTGTGGTTGCAATCTCTAGCAAGAAAAAAATAAACCTAAAATAAAGGAGCAACCTATATTAATTTTAATGTAATTACAAGTACACAAATGAAAAACTTTAAATATAATTAGTTATAAAATTTTTCAGTGACATCTCTAAGTAACCACTACTCTGAAATCCAACCCCTTCTTTGAAACCTAACTGATCCTAATCTTCCCTTCCAGTCACCCAGCAAGTGCTAGTGGTGATTTAATTCCTTGGAATTTCCTTGACATTTTTACTTGACACTGCTCTTACTCTCTTCCCTTTTTGGTTTTCATTATTTGTATGCATCTCTTTTAGTCTGCTAACTTCCTTAGAATAAGAAAAGCCATGTTTTGTTCATCTCCATGTTCTTTTTTTTTAAAATAAATATTAGCATTTTATTATTTTTTTTAAAGATTTATTTATTTTTACACAAGAACTGGGACACAGGTCAGATGTACAGGAGGGTGAAAGGATTCACTGGAGACAGAGCAGGGAACAGAACAGGCAGACCAACTGAAATACACTGCTGAGGGGAGCAGTGGGTGAGACCGGAGAGGTCTGCCACGCCATGTGGGTATCTCCGTGGCCGGCGGGAATCGAACCAGCACTGCAAAGGCTGCAGACAGCTTCACAGTGCTGAGTTCAACTGCCTGCGCCACCAGGGAGGCCCCATCTCCATGTTCTATACATACTAAGAGACTTAGTATGTTTTTAGTGTTTCAATAATAAATTTCAAAACAATCAATGTATGAACAGAGAACCAAATAATCTCTTTTATAAATATTACAGTAATTTTATAGCTCCCCTGGTGGCCTAGGGGTTAAGTGCTACCACTGGAACGGCCTGAGTTCAATCCAGGGAGGGAGCTAACCCACATGGCGCAGCAGACCTCTCCTGTCTTGTCTGCTGTTCCCCTCAGCAGTGTCTTTCAGGAAATCTGCCTGTTCTGCTCCCCACTTTGTCTCTGGTGAATCCTCTCAGTCCCTGAACCTCTGGCCTACAACCCAGTTCTTCTTAAACAACAGCCTCTGAATCTGTGTTAAGTTTCTGACTTTCGTTCTTCATTCCAAGCTTTCACCATCACCCAAGTTAACTGTTCATGGTGTCCTGCAAACACTACTTTAGGAACATCTGAAATCACTTCTACTACCACAACTTCAGGTCTTTCTTCATCTCTAAGCTGTGTCGCTGTGACAGACCAACCTGTCTTTCTTCCAAATGCCTAGCTCGCCCCTATATACTCTTGCAATGGCCTTCTCCCTTCCTGAGATCCTAGTGGTTTCTCAGGACTTCAACTGAATATCTGCTGAATCATCTAGAGCTTTGATTATTCACTGTTTACACATATCTTTCAAATTAGACTATGAACCCTACAAAAGCTTGTATTAGTTTTTATTAACAGCAGTGTCAGAAGGAAACCCAAATACACAGAAGGTCCTCATGGAGAAGCAGTGTGGTGATTAGGAACATGGACTCTGATCTTAGCCACAGAGAAGGCTAAGCCGGGCCAGTTAGTTTAGTTCCAGCTCAAACAGTTAGTGGATGGCTAACAGTGGGCAAGCTATTCCCCAAGCTTCAGTTTTCTCATCTATGAAATGGTTAAAACAACAGGGTTAAACAAGAACATGCATGAATGGGATGTCACACACAGTAAATATCAACTGAGACTGTTACATGATTTTGATACTATTCAACACCTTCTATTAAAGTATAGAGTCCCCTTTTCTATGGTGATTTCAGAAGGGTCAGAATAAAACTCTATCCCCTTCATCCTGTAACTTACAGATAAAACTGTGAGGGTTAGGAATTAATCAAGTGCAGTAGGAGGGCACTGAGTAGCTCTGTGACCCCAGGCATCCATCTAACAGTTCTGTTACTTAGCTTCCTCACCTCCAGAATGGGAATGTTATTGATACCCACAGTATTAATCACAGAGGAATGCCAAGAGAATTGGAGGGAATAAAGCATGTCAAAGTGGATAAATGGAAGTTCAAATAACTGACATAACCCACCCCCATTTCTCTTCCTCAAAGATAGGAGAGATCTAGAATCAAAGTTGAGAGGCACTGACATACAGTGAAAATCACCATGCCTGGCTACCTTGGTTAGTTTCTCCATAAAGACTCATCTCTTATGTGCCAGAAAACCATTAATGCAGTTGATGAAATGATCCTCTGCTGAGAACCACACCCCGAGGTTTAAAATTTATGATAAAATTTATGATGTGCCCATAGCCATTAAATCCATTCAATCTTTGGAAATGTGTCCCAGAGATCAGTCTTTTCAGTTACATAGGTGATCCTAATTGTTAGCACTGCTGTGTCTGAAGGGCACACTATGCCAGACTTTGCAGATAATTCCTTCAGGTGTACAAGTTACCTAGCAACATGGCCTAGGAGGGTCACATAAAGTTCTGTACCCACAAGTTCAGCAAACTGCAGAGATGCCACAGTTCACAAAGGAACCAAAGCTCATTCTACTCACCAAACAAACTGCTTGAATGGCCACCTTTTGATATAGGTTTCAGTTCATTTAATCCCCAGGCATAGTGTTTATAGTTATTCCAAGCATGTTGCATCATCTGAGAAAATGAAATAAAAATAGGATTGTAATTTGAATTTCAGATGTTTTGTTATAAAACTGAAAATATATTAAAGGCCTAACAGTTAAAATATTAAGCTTAGTTAAAAGGATAGTGATTAATTAAAAGGGTGATGATAGCATGAACAAACTAGGACTCATATACATACACACACACACATCATTCCTTTTTTAGAAATGAAGATTTTTCTTTTCAGAGACCATTTAATCCCATTTAATATACATGTAATTTTCAAAAATCAGTTCTCAATAATAGAAATTTAGTTTATTCTAAATAGATAAACCATTTCTACATTTATCACTTCAGTCTCAAACAGATTAAATATGAAGACTCTATAATTAAAATTTAATATTTTTGTAGAAGGTTCTCCACACTTTGTCAACTTCACAGTATATAGACAAATATCCAAGGTTATCACTTTAAACATATTCAGTGTATCTTGATTAAGTCTGCTGGAGACATATTTTAAAATACCTACAGGAAATAAAATATGAAACTCTCTGACTATGGTTAGATTTTGGAAAACTTTAACTTAATATAATCAATATTTAACTGTGTTCATATGTGCAGATTGATCCTATATGTTCCCAGTCTGGAGTCCATATACCAGCAATGTTTCTAAAGATCAAACCTCTGTCACAAATTCACTGAATTTGTAAAAAGAGTATAATTTTTTTTCAATGATTCAAAAATGCATATAGCTGTTTTTGCATACATTTTAAAGAAAGGATTGGGATTTCTCAACTGTCTAGAATTTATTCATGCCACTATTTGCAATTTATTGGTAAAAGTAATTAAATATGGGCATTATCTGAAAATATTCTAATCTGTCTCTATATTTCAAAATATCTTTTTTTTTTATTTTTTTTTTGATAGAGGCATGCTTTATTTATTTGTTTGCTGGTTTGTTTGTTTGTTTTGTTTATACATGCACTGGGTACAGTCAGAAGCGCGGGAGGGTGAGAGAACCCACCAGAGCCAGAGCGGGGAGCAGAGCAGGCAGAAGGACCGAAGTACACTGCTGAGGGGAGCAGCGGGCGGCAGGAGAGGCCTGCGCGCCATGTGGGACCCTCCTCCAGTGGCCGGGGAGCAGCCGGGGATCGAACCGGCGCCGCAGAGGCCGCGGGCAGCTTCGCAACCCAGCGCTCAACTGCTGCGCCACCGGGGAGGCCCTATATTTCAAAATATCTTTAAAGTATTATATAAGCTGTAAATACTACAGATGGGCTGTTTGTCATTAAACATCTTCAGTGAGATTAATATCATTTTATTAGCAAGACAAAGGTCTTTACATGTCCCTGAACACAATAGTGAACATCTTTTTAACCAATTTGTATATTTTCTTCCTATGTCACTACTATGGCTACTAGTAGTAGCTAACAAGACTCTTTACTATCTGCTAGGTACTCACTAAATGTTCTACAGTCACCATTATACTCAATTCTCATTACAACCTTATGAAGTAATGTACTGTGTTACCATTGTTTTGGAGATGTGAAAACTGAGTTTTAGAAGTTATAAAGCAAGTAACTTTCTCCAAAGTCATTACATCTCAGCACAGGTAAGGGGCGGGGCCTCATCCTTGTATTGGCCTGACTCCCAACACCTACAGCATCAACTCACACACTGCATCATCTGCCTTCACTGAGTCAACAACATAATCTTCTTTAATGAATCAGATAGGTATTGATCTCCCAGCTCTCAGCAGAATGTGTATATGTTAGTTTTTTCCAAGATTTATGCCTTATAAATTAATTCAAATAAAATAATTTAAATAATTTTATTGGGAAGGATAGTAACTTTGAAGGTAAAGAACTTGATTTGTAATCCCTATAAAACCACCAATTAATGTCATAATCATGGATAAGTCACAGTTTTTGTGACTTATCTGAAAAATTACTTATCTGAAAAATTTGTATCATAATTCTTGCTGGGAATCATGTAAGAATTCCTGTGATCACTTCTGGCACACTGGAATGTGATACATAACCACATTGATTTATATTTTTTCTATGCTTCTTTTTATTTATTTTCTGCTTTAATTCATGTATTAGTCCCTAAAATCATTATGGAATGTTTCTAATATAATCAAAAAGTACAGAGAATAGTGTAATTAATAATCTTGAACAGTTTACCTATAATACACTTACACCAGTTTTACTACTCTTCCTATTTTCCCTCATGCCATATGATTTAAAGCAAATGCCAGATATCAAATGTTTTCATGTGTATTTCAGTATATATACCTAAAAGATAAGGAATTTTAACTGAAATACTTATCATACATCTATGCTACCTATAAAAAAAACATTAATAGGCTTGTCCTAAAATGTAGAGAAACCAGTAAAACTCACATGACAAAAATAGAAAATATTAAGTATCTAAAAGTGTATGAAATCCACAAAAGCACCTTGAGATGACAACTGAGCTTGATTTGGTTTTCCAATTAAGTATTTTATTTGGTAAACATCTAATTTCTATCAATTTTTAAAGATACAAATTTAAAAGATTTTGGAATATACTTGACACAAGAACAACAACATAAAAAAGCTATGATGACTTGTTTTAGCTTTAAGATTGAATGGAAACCAGTGCCACACATTATTATTACTCAAAGATAGCATCCGCTCTCCTATAGAAGATTTGCTTTGTCAATAATTAATATTTATACAATGTATCAACACTGCAGAACCTCTTTAAGTTGCCTCTGTGGTATATATTAACTTTTCTTATCTTTTTTCGCCAAGGGAAAATCTGACACTAATTGCTTAGATTCCTACATTCCAAAAGTTGCTGTGACACGTTTCTCAAAATGAGTTCCTCTTCCACTGGGATTTCTATGAGTTAAAGTTAGAAAAGAAAAATAAAACCATGCAGTCAAAACGCTCTGAACGGACTATTAAGTGTGGCTTCTCCAGGAATGTATAAAATGAAGAGGAAGAGCCATATCATTAATGGATTCCAGTGATTAATCACTCCTGGAAACAATTTACAATGTTAAAAGCTAAACATAAGACACTGTGTGGGGGGGGGGGAAGCGGGGGATGGCGGGGGGTTTAACAGTGAGATTGCATTCACAAGCCCTATATAAAATCAGCTTGCTAATTCAGATTTACGACTTTTTCAAATATCTGAGAACATCAAAACACTACTAGCTTCTAATTTTATAGTGATAAGCTACTAGCCAGCTGAGGGACCATGGGGATGAAGGCATTTAATCTCTGCAGACTCTGAGTGCTTGTGAGCCGACAGGACAAGAAAGTCACTTATAAAATTCAACTACTAACAAAGAAGTCCATGGATAGTATTAATCCTCTTTCTTCACAGGCTCCGTAATTTTGTTTTGTAGTCTTCCACCAGTTTAATTAGGAATCTTCATCCTGACATTATGAGTAGAAGGATTAAAATAGGTCTAAGCCAGAAGTTGATTAGGACTTCAAATGCAATGCTGAAATCCTCATGAAAAAAAGAGAAACTGAAAGGAAACCAAAGATTTATTTTTTTCTGGAATATTTATATTTGCATTGTTGAAAGGTACAGCTAATATATGCTATAAATTGAAACAGGAGAGAATGACAAATTTCCTAATAGCAAGCCATTATTTTGAGCAGGAGAAGCTGGAATTAAAGCATAAAATATCCAAAAAACCACATTACTTCTCCTTGAGTCTATGCTTATAGAAGATTCTTCGATTAGCACTTTCTTTTCAATTGGGTAATTACTCAGCAGCAAAGCTGAGTAATTAGGCAGTCATTTATTGAGAGTCTGCTACAACAATGAGTAATAAGATGCTAAAGGACAAGAAGGGAAGTGTACATGACTCTATCATGCTTATAATCGAGTAGATAATATATGGAAGCATAACAATCTCCCTTCTTACATATTCATAAGTGTTTATAAGTATGAGGCAATATAACAATGAATTAAATCTTATGTACAACTCTATTGCTGTATGTAACAGTTTGTTTTCAATTTATATCCTGACCTAATCAAGGACATAGGAAGCCAAGAAAAAAGAAAATATGCTCAAATTTCTCCAGGTATGTGTACATTTCATCACTTACATTTTTACTACTAGGAATTACCCTTAGCTAGTACCTTTATGTGCTCAAGTTTTAATCACATGGTTTTAAATTATTCAGAACAGATGCATTAAAAATCTTTGAAACTCTCACTGTTTTTACCAGCTGCAAGTCTTATGAGGACTTTGGGGTTTTGCTGCCCTCTTTAAAAAGTCTACAAGTTCAAGCTCCTCTTACAACCTCCTCCTGCTATGGTGGTGGTGGGGGGCTTGTCTTACACAAAATTTTCATAGTTACAATGTGATTTGGGTCCCTGATTGAATGATTCAGTGTTTGGTGCCTGATCCAAAGACAGACAATTGGAAGCTGGCGATGAGTCTGAGGTGAGGTGTCCTGGTCTGAAGCTTTCCCCAATGCATGGACCAACCCAAGCATCTACTCTCCACAGGGAGATATTTATAGAGTCCGAAGGCCAGAAAGTGCTGTAGAACCAGAGAAATACAAATACACAAAGGAAAAAGACATAAAAAGGAGACTTGAGGCAACTGAAACCAGGAGGGAGACAGAAGGCGAGAAAATTAAATGTGGTTGAAAGGCAGACTTAGGATGCTTAGTCATTTGCACGGTGCCCCAGGGGAATTATGTTGGGTCTTGGATCTGCTACAGAACTACAAACAATGCTGTTTGAGTCCTGAATGTTGATGAATTATCTTCCTCTCCTCCAGAAGGTGTGGCTCTTTGCCTGGTAAGACTGTTTACTTACTGCCCTTAGTGTATGTCTTTACTGAAAACTCATTTGTTTACTGAGGAGGGATACGTAAATAGATCACAGGTATGTAGTCATCTGACAAGCTGGGTTCATATGTGAGTTCTGTCATCATAGATGTGATGCTAAGTGAAGCAATTAATCAATCTTTCTGAGCCCATTTTCAATACCCACAAAATATAAATGAATAA